CATTGGCTCCTCTCCTCCATTGAACACGACTCAGTTCTGCATAGTTGAGCAACCATGCCGGATCGACATGATAAGTTGCAGCCAATGACCTGATGCTTAGCATTGCACGACAGACGGAGACGGCTGTAGTTGCTACTGCTATTCTGGGAAATAGATGTGTCTATGAGCTTTCATGGATATCATGACGTTCAGTAACTTACCCTTCCCTCAAAGCTGGATAGTACACCTGGCAACAATTGTAAGTGGTAATGTAAACAACTAAGGTCATAAAACTTACAGATATTTCCTTCGGTTTAGTCATAGAAAGACCGATAATTTCATATAGCAGTGATCCTGTGATTTAACTTCAGATTACGCTGGAGAATAATGAAGGTATATTCACCGGCCGCAAACGTATACATCAATATCCCTCTAAGAAAATGTCAGCTTTCGTAGTAGAAACTGCAACCGTTAACCGGGCCTACTCTTTTACGAATCGGTGTATAATGCCACGTTGCTGCAACACTTTTGGGCTGACGCGAAAGCGATACATCGTCAGTAAGAGCATGGCCGTATGGACGACCAGGGATGGCAGGTACATGGCAAACACAAATGGAGGGCTCTGCGTCGGGATCTCAGCGATCAACGTTATACGCAGGGCAGTCTTGATGGGATTAAACTCGACGCTGCCAACTATTACAGTTCCTGCCGCGCAAATGACGAGAATAGTGACCGCCAGCCATCTAATGAGGTAACTCCGGAAGAATAGATGCCACACTCGCAATGTCACGACACCTGTGTGCACTAGTCAATTCATTTGGATCGACGGGTGCGCCAAAGACAAACATTGACAGAGTATCAAGACCATGAATGAAATAACGTAGCCCCCGATGAGTAACAGGTTTGTTCTGTTTCAAAGTAAGCTGGTCTGTAAGGCATTCATAATGTATAATCGCCCACTCCTGGAAAGCTATAAGTAAAACGCCAAACAATGACACGCGCAACTTGAGAAGTACCCACCGCAGAACTAAGAGTGTTGACCGGTCCTGCTATTCCTATATATCCATTATTCACCAGAACCGTGACAAGTAATATTTACTATAACGAACCATACAGAGTAAGGCTAAGAAATGGTGTTAAATGATGCGCTTTTGATTGCATGCAGTCAAAACGCACCAAGCTTGTATCAGAGCCAAGTATCGTATCTGTCGAATCTAATATTACTGATTGAAGGTAAGAAATAATCGATGACATTACGCTGAGATATAGTGCTCTTGACGCTGACCATGAACCAGACCAGAAGAAATTTATCTAACAAACGACAGCGGTGGATCAGTGTTATATCATCATCGATTGTGGAAGCGAATATACCTCTTGATCTAACGTGATAGCATGGTCGTACACTATAAGGGTGAAAGATGTCAGAGCTAATCCCATAGAGGCGGAGTACGCCGACGCTGTTTGTGGGGACATGGCAAATTACGGATGGACCTGCTAGTACCGAGAACACAGAGCACTCTCTGGTTAGTCACGTTGAGGAAGGTGGACTATGTTATATACCACATATTGACTCAGGCTGTGACGGGTGATGAACAGGAGGCGAAGCCCATCATGAACTCACATGGCCTGCATCTCTCTCGCATTTGATATCATGGCTTATTTGAAGTGTTTCAGGCTATGCTGGGAGGCGTCCGGTCGTCACTATGTGGATGTTCATCAACTGAAACTTACTAAAAGCACACGAAAAGGTTCCCTGAATCATTGATGGTAGCGACTACCTGTTAGAAAAAAGGTACCCACATATTTGGACTCGCCTTGCCATTAAAAAGTATCAATCTCTTCCATGACACAGTCAGTAAATTTTGAAACATGTAATCGGTGGCAAGTAGTAGTCCAGGAGGGTTTGAGCCGTCGTTATTCGCAGGAGTTCCCACGGTATTATTAATGGGCGCATCATGTTACTGCACAATGTGACTTGGGATACTACTGATACTGGTAGTAGCTAAGCTCTGGAACTCGTCAAATGGACACCAGATTGGCCAAACTTGCACTGGTTACACTTCTTGCTCGTTATCTTTTTTGATGGCTCCCTCGTTCCTCGGACGACAAGGCTGTACGATTGTGGAGCACAAAGCCACTCAAACACACCGTCGGAGTTACCTTCATCGCCATTTCTTCCAACGGAAAACCGCTCGTGAGTGGAGACTATGATAGGGCAGTTCGGCTCTGGCCCATCAAGAATACTACTTTCACAGCATCTAGGCTGGATTCCTCATATGGCTTTGCACACCACAGTGAGATACACTTTAAAATCTCCTCCCGGAGCTCGAGGCCATTTCCGATGCGGAAAAGGTGCGGACGATACTCGTTGTTGTTTTTATAATTAAATGATATTCGTAGGTCATTGAGCTCAACCCTTTGTTTCATTATGGATATGAATTGAAGCATGCAACACCCCACGGAGCACGACGCTATGGTGAAGCAGCCGAGGCCTTCAAAATCATGATCTCTAAGTTGGATAATACTCCTGACACACAAACACGACATGGGCCCAAAACAACTCACGTGCCTGATTGAAGACGACTAATTTTGCGGAGTTGTGCTAACAATATGTCAGTCCGTCTGAAGCAGAACATACTACTCGATGAGCCGTCGACACTCACCTAGAAAACGCTCCACTTCGTCTGCTCAACTCCATAACCAAAGAAGCGGTCGTAAAGTATTTCACTTGGGTCATGTTATCGGAGCCGCGACTGCGTGAAATTCTGGACGAGAACGTGTATACATTGTGTCCAGTTGGAACCATGGAAAAATGGCAGAAGTTCTGCGAAGTCGCTCGCGGTGTAGGGCATTTCTGGGCATGGTGCGACACCTACGGCATTGACTAGGGCAACAATGTTGAGCTCCGACAATCGGTCAACTCCACGTTCGTCTGGTACCGCTAATCAACATTCACCATTGTCTGCCTATCGGATGTCCCGACTTCCTTCCCAGTCTGGCGCGCTCGTAAACAGTGTTTGGAACTCCCGAGGATGGACTATTCAGGAGTTTCTCGCTTTCTCTTCTAGCAGGAAAATTGGAGAACCACAAGGAGTCTGTCAGCGTCATGCAGGAGTTAGAAGATGCAACAGCGCCGACTTCCGTTCGATAACGAGAGGTGTCTGAGAGATACTCCTTGGCATCTTCGATGTGAACCTTCCTGTAAGGAAGAGAAAAGACAACGGGTTCGGACGTCTCTTGCAGGTCATTATAGCTTATTTAGGCCACATTTCTACCCTTGACTGGTGGGACAATCATCCAACTCAATAGTTGTCTGCTAGCCGACATTTCATACATAGCTTATTGCCATATTTATCTGAAGATGAAATGTAGACATCGCTCTCTACGCTGCGACGTGCTGTGGCACTTTACGGACGAGACATAGTAATAGGGCGTAGATGATTGGCCTGAACCTGTCTCTAGTAACAGACCATCCAGTCGGCTGGAGTCAATGAGTCAGTTACTCATGAGTTGAAGGCTCCGACAGACTTTTGACGCTCTTAGGCTTTGCTAGCACAGCAGTGTGTTGAGGAGTATAACAGAATTGCTTCAGACAACACAAGCCAAAAACATCGTTTCTGTTGATGTCATGGCTGATTAGGACGTGATATTGTAGCTGCGAAGAATGGGGATTTCGGGACGCATTTTTATTCATACTTGACAGCACCTGCATGGACAACTACAACTTTGTTTCGTATAGAACTGTACTATACACTATCCCATACAACACTACTGCGCCTAATCGCCCACCTACTCAGTAGGTGAGACTTCACAAGGCAAATCGATGTGCCTATTAGTTGAGTTATTACATTTGGAGTAAAGTCGTGGTTGTTAAGACATCTAAAATCGTCTTTACACCTTCCCTGGATACTCCATTTCCACAGAAGTTGACGGTAGCGATCTGCAGGGAAGAACCACATCCATCTCGTTGACTTCAACGACAATTTCTCCTTCACTGGTCCCTCTCCTCCAGTGGACGCGACTGAGTTCAGCATGATTGAGTAACCATGCTGGATCGACGTGGCAAGTTGCAGCCAAGGACCGGATGCTTAGCATCGCGCGACAGACGGAAATGACTGTGGCTGCTACTGCTATCCTGGGAAGTAGGGGTTGCTTGTGAGCTTCGGTAAACAACGGAGGATGAAGCGACCTTACTCTCCCCCTAGAGCTGAATAGTAAACCTGGCAACGGTTTCAGATTTTAACCAGCCACGCAACTATGGTTATGTAACTTACAGACATCTCCCCTGGTCGAGTCAGAGAAAGAGCGACAATTTCGTACAGTAGCGTTCCTGCGATTTGTCTCAGTGTGTGCAAAACGAGAAGAATCGAGATATATTCACCGGCTGCAAATACATACATAAACATTCCTCTTGAGCGAACGTTAGCTTTCGAACTAGAGCCTGTGACCGACCGACAAGGGTGACCTACTCTTTCAAGAATCGGTGGACAATCCCGCGTCTCGGCAAGGCTGTTGGGGTAATGCCAAAACGATATATCGTCAATGATATCATGGTCGTATGGACAACCAAAGCTGGTAGGTATATCACAAATAATGTCGCAGGGTTCTCCTCTAGGGTCAACGGGTTGTATAATCCGTATACGGCTGTCTTAATATGCCCAAACGCAGCGACGCCTGCGGTTACAACTCCTGCCGCAGAAGCGATCAGAACAGTAACCGCCAGCCATCTAATGAAGCGACTTCGGTAAAATAGATGCCATACCCGCAATGTTACAACACCTGCGCACATCGGTTAATTCGGTGTAATCAACAAATGCACGAAGACGAACATTGGCAGAGTTCCATGATTAGGAACGCAAGGACGAAATCTGTAACAAAAAGCCATTGTACACTATTTCCTGCGTGAACTGGTTTGTTAGGGCCTTGTCACGCATGACTCACTTCTGTGGAAAGCTGTACGTAAGACGCCGAACGACGATACGACCTGAAGAAGTACTTACGGTAGAATTGGGAGTCATGATGTTTCCTATTCGTCTGAGTCGTCAGAGCCATGCCACGTATATTCTCACCGACGGACCATAGAATATGAGACTAATCGATCCTCATCAACTAATGCGGTGTCATGAGATGGAATCAAACACGCACGACATTTGAGTTAAAGCCAAGTATCGGATCTATTAAATCCACGATTGAGCACCGGCAGCAGAATACAACTCATCGACGGCATTACACTGAGATATAGTATTCTTGAAGTTGTCCATGGTCCAGACCAGAAGAAGGTCACCTAGAACAGTGAGTTGAGAGTGGTTTGGTGGTAGATCAGCGTGAGGTCGCTATTGATGATGGAGGCAACGATACCTCTTGGGAGAACGTGATAATATGATCGTACACAACTAGGGTGAATGATGCCACGGCTAAATGCGCGGAGGCAGCGCTCGCAGACTTCTGCATTTGCCAGTCTGTGGACATGGCGAGTTACAGATGAGTCCTGGGATGTCTACAGAAAGCGCTGTTCCGGGAATCGCATTGAGGAGTTAATGTGGACCAACTCTATATAGCAGATGTCCATGCAGAGACGAAGCTGGTGGACCCTTGTGGTAACCTAATACACGTTGAAGTGCTCGAAAAGGATAAAGGATTATATATAGCGTGCAATCATTTTCATCAACGTACACCGCCTTTTCAAAAGTTCATGTTTATCCAAATATGTCCAGATACCTTGTCGTGATTCCACCTAGAACACAGCATCAACAGCACCCTCTCAGATTCGCATGTCTTCCAAGACCATGGACGCTTGCTCTTACTCTCTCCCGCAACAACTTCTATCTCGTGTGTGATGCTCAAATCACCGGATTCAAGTAAATCCAGTAAACCCTATTTTTATTAAAATCTTCGATGCAGTGTATACTAAAAGAGTATGGCTGAAACAGCATGTTGATCACTAACCCTGAATCTGTCAGCATCAGTGGCCAAGGCATAGCGATCAATCTTGATGAGTCTCACTTGTGGGAGTGTCTAGACCATTGAAGTTGCGGCCATTCGAAGAAGCCAGGGTGTGAGAAGGATTCGGAGTCATGGGGAGTTCTGTGTCGCTAGAACCGCCTAGCTCGAAATCTCGTCTTCACTGTTTCCCATGAGGACACGACTGAGTTCCGCGTGATTGAGAAGCCACGCTGTGAAGCGCCGCAGATGTAGATCGAATATTGAGGAGTAACGCATGGCAGACAAAGACAATGGTTGCAACGACGACGACGCTGAGTAAATGATTGGTTTCATGATTTCATTCATAAGTGAGCTATGAAAGCAACACACCCGCCTTATAAACCTATGCAGTGAACCTAGAGAATCATAAGTTGCTGAGCAGAACAAGAAACAGATTTACAATATTCATATCCAGCTAGTCAATGAAAGAACGATGATTGTGCGCAGTAGCGATCCTGAGTGATAGCATGACAAGTATGAAAGTCGATATCGAACTTGGATGCTTCCCGTTGCGCATGGATACCTGATCAATCACCTGAGAATGCATATAGTGAGTGTTTTATGCGTGTAGCTGTACGATCAATGGCGTGCTCTAAAAAAAAACTTCTAGAAGCAAAGAGCGTCTTTGAAATTGGTCGCTCATCACACACCTAGCGCGCTATGGTCCATAAAGCCAGACGCGTACACAAGGGTAAAAACCGTTGGGCTCTTGGTAAAACTCGGGTGCACCATTCCCTTGAAAAAGATCGAAGAGAGAGCCACCTATAAACCTATAGTCAACCCTTAGTATGCACACGGTGTATAGCGGACACCCTGTTCCTCGCGAAAAGGCACCAAACACAGAGAGCGATGACAGCTTGCAAGGTTGTCAATAGACGAATGAACAAATTTCAAGCCTTGACACAGCGCCACATCCAGAGTCATCAACGCCACATTTCACAACAAACAATGCCTCGAGGCTTGGTGTGGCGCAAGCCTTGCACGAGGACTAGAGCTGGTGAGGCTCACAGCTGTGAGTGATCTGAGCAACTTGGTACACCAGAATCAATGATCTCTTACGGTAGATTCGGAGAGATGAAAGTGCACGGCATGAATCAGAGATCACCTTTGTCATAAGAAACTTCCTTACGGTACACTGAAAGATGATGAGGAGCGATCATACTGGTTAGACGCTTGGTGCTCACAATGCTCAAAATATCGTATATGCAGATGAACAATCGAGGAGTTATTGTACCGTGGTCTGTAGAGTGCATCAATGCGATCGCACCAACAATGCAGTCGGGCAACACTGGGGCTGGTATGGCTGAATAAGTGAGGGAGAGTTGTAGGATTCTCGATATAAAATTTAAAGGATTATATATACGCACAATGTGTCCTCTGAGGCAGTGCCTCTCATAGTCATGGCACCTCTCGCGCTGGAGTCACTGCCAGAAGCTCAAAGTAGAAAATCACGCGCTTCGCAACAAAAGTCACTATTGTGGCGGCGAACCTCTCAATCCATCATGCATCATGTTCTGGACTTCGACCATGTGGAAATAAATGCAAAAATGAAGCACCCGTCCGATGAATTTTGTGGTCCTGCTCTGAACAAGCCAAAAGGAACTTCCACGCTTGTCACAGATTTTCACCGCAGATCATCGATGTGTATGATCGTGTTGGGTACAGTGGTAGTACTTGCCATAGCCTAAGTGGTTGAACTTGCAATGTTGCTCCAAGAAAAAGTCCCATTAAGCGTCCCAAGAACTCGACTTGGACACGATGGGACACAATTGAAATGTTGACACATGTAGCGGGCATTGTAGCAGCCCATTGCGGAAATTTACCTAGGTCCCTGGGAGGTAAACTCAAGACAATGTGGCGTACATTACTCACCAATTTTTTTTTCAATTGAAACTGATTGAGGCGGGTGTTGTACTAATCGTGTTTGAAATTTATCAAAGACGTAAGTTCCACACTCCTGCAGGGTAAGCGGATTGAATTCAGCTGCCAAGGGGGAAAAAACTGTCAGCCGTTGTTAGGCCGAACGGTCTAAAACGCGTCCACTTTGACAGAAATGATGTGGTTGAAGCATAACTCCATTGGACGCACTTTGACTAAGCGGGAATGGAGTGGAACGAGATCTGAAATTGATCAGAAGTACTGGCAAAGTAAAGTCTCCATGAATGACAATTTTTGCATGGCATGAATGCATAAGGGCATGCGAGGACAATCGACGTAGATGTAGGTAACCATAACTTCAACACACTCAAGGAGCGAACAACGTGTTGAGGAAAGCCTCTCCAGCAGAGGAGCCCTTGGCCTTCTTTCCTTTCTTGTCTTTTTGTGCCTTGACACGCTCCTGCTTGACTATAACACATCAACGTAACACATGAGTAATCAATTTGATTAAATGAAAGGTAGATAATATACATACGCAACTCTTGTCTGCGGAGGGTCTTGGCGTAAGGGTTCATGCGGAAGAGAACCCCTTGTTGACGAGAGGGTTCTTCTCTGCGTCCATGGGCGCTTCTGTACCCGTGGGCCTGCAGGGCGAACAACAGATTGAATCTCAGTGCTGTTGATGAGACGAGTAACGTCGGGGTTAGAGATCTTAGCGGTGGGAAGGCTATACACGACAGATCAGTCGAGCAATAAGGCACTGCATACGAGACATACAGGTAGTCCTTCTTGTACGAGGAGGCTTTGTCGAAGGTGCCGAACCTCATCAAGGAGGCTGAAGGCGCCCTCTGTCCAGATGACGAAGCGGCCAATGTGTCCACCAGGAGCGAGTTGGAGAAGGTTCAACCTTTGACGTTGACGAGTTCGACACCAGGCAAGTTACGGAAGGCTGGACGATGCCGTTGTCTTCCTTGAAAACGACAAGAGGGCCACGACGTTGACGGTAGCGGCGGTTGCGCATCTTGCCCTTTCCTGCCGGAGTTTGCGCGAGTTGGACACCTTGGTGACATCCGTGTATGCATTCAGGGCCTTGAGAGAGTTATAGCCTCCTTGGTTTTCTTGAAGGACTCAGCTGCGTTATCAACGACAAGAGGAACT